GGTGGAGACGCATCGGGTCGTGGCGACCTGCCACTCACTGGTCACTCTAGATGACGGACAACTGGTCGGAGATCCATTGGAGAAGGCCATGCTGACCGCTGCCGATTGGACCCTCACTAAAGGTAGAGTTTTCGTAAGGACATGGATACGAAGGGTCACAGATAAGACGTCTGATTTCAGATCGGAAGATTGAGGGTTTGAGTCTCTTTGTGGTTATGTTTCCTGTTGTGAATTAAAATAATGGAACAAAATTTGTTACAATTAAGGTGGACTTCTTCCCAATGCTAGTTCGCCAGTGAAACAAGCTTCTTAATCTTGCCTCTTCAACCAGATGAGAAAGTCTTCTCACGTAGCATCAAGACCCAGGGCCTCAAGATCCATCAGCGTTTCCACTTTGCCAGCGCTCTCAAGAGGATGTCAGTTCTGGCCTCCTACGAGAAGCTGGGATCCACAGAACTTTCCTACATCTCCACGGTTAAAGGCGCCCCGGAGACGCTCAAAGCCATGGTTATATATTTCGCTCTGTCTCAAATGTGTCATCGAATTGTTGAAAAGGTTTTGTTCAAATAATGTGGCTGTGCTTGTAGTTTTCAGAACGTCCTGAGAGTTATGATAAAGTGCACAAGGAAATCTCCCGGGAAGGGGCGAGAGTGCTTGCTTTGGGTTACAAAGAGATGGGACATTTAAGTCATCAGCAGGTTTGTCATGTCTCTTGTTTCCAAAAAGTGCGCTTTATATTTAGTTTGAACTTATTTGGATCTTTGCGTTTTTGTAGGTTCGGGAGATGAGCCGCAGTTCCCTGGAATGTGACTTGAACTTCGCCGGCTTCATGGTCGTGACATGCCCCCTTAAGAGTGACAGCAAGGCGGTCATCAGAGAGATCCAGGAAGCATCTCATCATGTAACGAATGCAATGCAATGCGAAGGTCACGGAACGCCACGCTGCTTTTGTTCCAATTCCGATGATTCGTATTCTTGCTCCCTCAGGTGGTGATGATCACAGGGGACAACCCCTTAACGGCGTGCCATGTGGCCAAGGAACTCCACTTCCTCCAAAAGGAACGAACACTTATATTGCAATCATCTCACGGTAGGAAATTGGATGCGCTTACCAGCCACAACATTGTGTGGTACACTTGCACAATCAAAAAACTCCAACCATCAATGATTCCGGTTACAGTTCATACTGAGAGGTGTTTCGAATATTTTGAAGTCAAGTGAAATTATACCGCGTACGTGGTAATACCTTATTCTGTTGCAATTTTGGTACTGATTAGTTTTATCCAATAACACTCGTATTTAACACTAGCCCGTCTGTAGTGTTTCACATGATGTGTTAGCATCAAGCTAGCAGACGTTTGGAAGCCGAAGCTACGAGCTATGTGTTTGCGTAAATATACAACGTCAAATTCTCTTTATTTTGTGTCATTTTTATGGAAACTTTAACTGAAATTCCCAACAAACAGCTTTGTGCAAGGACGCGAGACCTTTCGAAGAGCTGTTCGCAATCTGCCAGAACTGCACTCCGAACGCTCAGGGAGGATAGAATAATATATAGTATGACATGATTATTGTTATGGTGCTGTGTTTTCCCAGGCGGTTGGCAGTGGGAGTCCATCGATGGCGCTGTGCACGTACCCCTTTCGCCTCCCTCGGTCTCCTCCTTTGTGCACCAGTATGACCTGTGTGTAACCGGGGAGGGGCTGGCCAGACTGTGCTGCGACCCCCGGCTGCTGCACGCCCTCTTACCTCACATACAAGTGTTTGCGCGAGTGAGTCCAAAACAGAAGGTAAGACCGAAGACACAAAATGAGGTTGGGATTCATAAGCGTTATGTAAGCAAGCAATGATATCGACTTCTCGGAATAGAGTTCAGAGCAAGCAAAGCGGAATAGAATGCATTTAAGCGGGGAATTTGCATCTGTGCGTTGTTCCAGGAATTTGTCATCACCAGTCTGAAGGGGCTGGGTTATGTAACACTGATGTGCGGCGACGGTACAAATGACGTCGGCGCTCTCAAACATGCCCACATCGGTAAGATTGTCCACAACATGTGACCATTTTTCTCTTCACCGTCACGAACGTTTGTTCTGATACGTTTACACAGGTGTCGCTCTATTAGCCAACGCCCCTGAGCGCATGCCAGAAAAAAAGAAACGAGGGAAAGAGAAGGAGGCGCCTGCCGTTGACTTTCGGCCTTCGCTACCTGTCAATGCCGGAGGCAAACCGAGTTCCAGAGGTGCCCGGCAGAGGATGATGGCCCAGAGAGAGGAACAACTCGCAGCACAAAAGGTGACCTTCAATCTTATTACCTTTTGGATACTTTTTTTTTTTTCATTGTTGTTGTTTTTGGGATAATAAAGCACTTTTTTTTTTTTTTTTTTTTTTACAGGAAAGGATAAGTCAAGTCCTGCGGGAACTCGAAGACGATCAGGTGCAAATCGTCAAACTGGGTGACGCCTCCATCGCCGCCCCCTTCACCTCCAAACTGTCCTCCATTCAGTGCAGTGAGTGAACAAATGTCACATTGACAGTTTAGTCTGCTTGCACACCTGAAATGGCTTCCTTTCTCCGTCTCTGTCCAGTCTGTCATGTAATCAAGCAAGGCCGCTGCACCCTGGTAACAACGCTACAGATGTTTAAGATCCTTGCTCTCAATGCCCTGGTGCTTGCCTACAGTCAGTCCGTGCTCTACCTGGAGGGGGTCAAGTTCAGCGATTTCCAGGCAACCCTGCAGGGTCTGCTGTTGGCCGGCTGCTTCCTCTTCATCTCTCGCTCGAAGGTGAGAATTTGTTTCCAGAAAATAGATCTCCCTCCAATCAAATGTTTGTGATTCCTCTTCATCTCAGAATAACGCTGTGTATCCCCCTCTCGTTGACTCAGCCGCTGAAAACGTTGTCGCGGGAGCGACCCTTACCGAACATCTTCAATCTTTATACCGTGTTGACGGTGCTGCTGCAGTTCGCAGTCCACTTCTGCAGTCTGGTCTTTCTTTACAAAGAGGCGCAGAGCAGAAGTCCGCCAAGGTAAAAAAAAAGGCGGGAACAGTGTGGCTTCTGCTTTTACCTTGGTATGCCGTCACATTTCTCCATTTTGTCTTTTACAGAGAAGATCAGTTTGTGGATCTGTACAAAGAGTTTGAACCCAGTCTAATCAACAGCACTGTTTATATCATGTCCATGGCTATGCAGATGGCCACGTTTGCCATTAACTACAAGGTAATTGCCTGAACACAGCTACAGGGCTTCCTTGGTTTATGACAGTCCTGCCTTTTTTTTTTTTTACCATGGTGTAAGAATGGCGTGGTGTCTTCAGTTGCTCAGTTATTGTCCTTTTTTTTATATTTTTTGGCTTCAAATTGTTTTTCATTGGAATATTTGCTGCATTTATGACTTATGTGTGACAAGAACCTTATTCTCCGTCATAAACCGAGGAACCGTATTCTTGTCTCTATATACTTTATAGTCTAACAACATAATGCATCTTCATTCTCTTGCGTAGGGTCACCCCTTTATGGAGTCTCTCAGTGAGAATAGACCACTACTTTGGAGCATCGCTTTGTCTGGATTAGCAATTGTGGGACTCCTTTCTGGTTCTTCACCTGAGTTCAATGAACAGTTTGCCCTCGTTGATATTCCGACTGAGGTGGATTGACACATTCTTTTTCATGAGTTGTTTTAGTGTGATTCTCTTGTAATAATGGTCTCCTGTATTTTCCCCATAGTTCAAAATGATCATCGCCCAGGTTCTGGTGGTGGACTTTTTCGCCGCCCTATTTGTGGACCGTGTACTGCAGTTCTTGCTTGGTAAAGGAACTCTGAGGGTGCCTTCTTGAACTCTTCCTGCCATCAGCACCCATGGTCCTTATGTACTCTAAAAGGGAGAGGAGACTTGGGAAAGGAAGATAAGAGAAGTGAGATCGTCATGGCGGGCAGCGCTGTACACTCCACTCCCTCAGTCCGCTCCTCCCCGTCCCATTCCCTTAATGTATTTTCATCAGTTACGCTTTGTTCTTTTTCCTCTTTTATCCCCAAACTTCATCCGTTCCTCCCCACAGCCACACAAGGCCATGAAGAGCAGTATTGAGAGGAGTGCGAGACTGTGCCAGCAGAGTGATACACTCAAGACACACAAGAGGGGCATTCTCCAAGAGAATTAACGAGCTGTTTTGATTACTCTCCTTGATTTTGTAAAAAGTGAAAAGACATCTCTAACAGACTTATAAAAAGACTTACAAACAATTAGGTCTGTCAAGTGTTTGTTTTTCTCAATCACAGATTTGTCTGGATAGCTCCGGGGACACATATTGGAGACAAAAATTACCATGGCATTTAGTTTTATCTATCTCTAAAGGAAGGTTATCGGTATTGATGTCCGTATAATAGCCAGGATTTTTTATTTTTGAACATTTTCCCAATGTCGAATGTTACGCAACTCAAAACAACAAAAAAAAATGATGAAGCAGCTGAACTGAAAGTGCAAGGGAAAAACATTGATTTTTTTATGTCCAATGAAACCAATACTAGGACTGAAAGTACAATATAATGTGGTCATTTTTCATAAAACAGAGCCAATAAAGAACATTTTATGGACATCTTTTTTATTTACAGTACACCTTTTGCTTCCCTGTGAAAATAATTGAAAGATTATATTAGTAGTGCATTAAAGAGCATTGTATATACAGTCTGTAAGGCATGAGATGGTACATAAATATGATGTCAAGGTGAGTGTCAATTTCTGGGTATTTACAGGCTAAGACTGGTAATGAGTAATGTCGGTAATGTACAGTGCAAATTGAACTAATTTGAATTTGAAATGTAATTTGAAATGTAACTAAAATCTTAAGTGTGACACTTCATATAATTGTTGAATTACAGTACAAATATTGTAAAGAATGTTATTTACTTTTGGAGATAGTGTTTTTTATTATATTTTTTGCTTCCGTAAAACCTAATATGTTGAGCGAGTTCGTCATTAAAACTACAGCTCCCATAGTGCAACGGTGAATAAAAAAGGCGGGGCGAGTTAGGCGCGCGATGTCAGCAGTTTGAAAGAAAAAATGGCGGAAGAATCCTCGTCCGCTGATCAACACTGGTTTGTTTGCTTTTGATTCCAGTTGTTATGAAACGTTCTGTTGTAGTTAAATGAAATCCAGGCATTATCAAAGCCTTTTCGACCTTGTCTAAGAGTCACTTTAATTTAAGTAGCCCGTGTCAGTGCTAAATGGGTTGGGCGTGCTAGCTTGCACGGCAAATTAAAATGTCGGCAAATGTCAATTTAACTGTTTCTAAAAATGCCGCTTGTCGTGAGGTTTCAAGTATTTCATATAATGTGCACTCATTTAAATGTTTTGCAGTTGCGGGCCTGTCGCCGCTGCGGAAGGCACGAGCGAGGTACGTATGTTTAATCGATTTGACATTTAAGTTAGTTGCTGGAGCTCAGTGGTTCGTAACTTAGCATTATGACTGTGCGCATTTTCGCATTCAGTTGTTAAAAAGCAATAAAGAAAATGAATTGGTCAAAAGTAGGTTCGAGTGCACGTTTACGTGTTCACAGCACCTTCATCGCCCCTGATAAAGAAACTGAGGATGAACTTGTTCCATATTGAATATAGTAAAATTAAATCGCCCAAATGCACAAAATGCAACCAAAAGATTTCAATTATATTGTCATTGGTATTTTCTTGCTAGGAACGTGCAAGATCAATGAAGAATACTGGCAAATGTAATGAGAACATTTTCAACTTTCTGAATTGTCCTGACTTCACAAGTGGTGTTTATTATGTTAGGATTTTTAAATGTAATTGGGGGTGGCGTTTGCGATCTGCACTGATATTCAAAGGAGTTTGATGTGAATCACTGCTTTAGATGACAGGCCAATAAACAGTATTTTCTTAATTCAGGTCAAGCAGTCACCCAAGCGCTGTTCATCCCCCGCTGCTCCAGAGGGCATCCCTCCACAAAAATCACCCCGCGTTGAAATCCTGTTACCCGGCACACAGAAGCTCAATGCTGGAGAAGAACATCGGGACACAGACATGCTGGGAATAGCGTCAGGAAGCACAGAGGAACCTGAATCCTGTCCGCCTGCAAGGTCCACTGCACGGAGGAAATCATGGAGAAGAGCCACCTTGACAAGGCGCTCCCTGTCCGCACTTCCCAATCCGTATCAAAGTGAGTTGAACGCATTACTCATCAAAATGACCATGTGAATATGTAGTAATTTTTTCTTCTTCTAAATATAGCTTTGTGCAAGCCCATCAGCATGTCCTTATCACAACAAGAGAGGTTGAGTGTATTGATGAAGGCTGCAATGGAGGTAAGGTCACAGCCAGAATGAAAATGCAATATAGAGTGTTCCCAAACAAAGTGACTTAATTTGAAATAGGGCTGAAACGTTGAATCAAATAATTCAATTCTAAGATGCAGTCAAAGCAAAATCTCTGTCCTTGAAGCTTTGCAGTGATCATATTTCCAACAGACTAATGCATATTCAATTTCTAAAGGATGTAGAATTTTCTGGAACACCCTGTATTTTAAAAATATATCTCTTGTCTACAGCTGGCCACAGATAGACTTCACAATTCGCTCCAGTCAGTGCCAAATTCCTCCCCGGAGTCTTTTCAGAAACAAGGTGCACAAAATAGCTGATTCTCCACTTCTTACCTGAGGCTTTTGGAATTAATTTCCAAACCTTTTTGTTTTCTTCCTTTAGTTGAGAAGTTGAAGAAAAAGTGCAAATCCGTGGCCAAGAGCATAAGCAGTGAACAACAGAATCAAAGGTAAATCGGGTTATTCCCTGCATGTTTTTATTTAATTGATTTTTTTTTTCTCACACAATTTGCTTTCAGGATTGGTGAGCATGGAGCACGGACAGCTATGGTGATCGAAAATACTATTAACAGGTTTGATGGTCTTAGATAAGACTATCGGGAATGAAATCACTACACTTAAAAAAATTAAAATAATGGTTTGTTTTAGGATTGAAGCTGAAAGTCAGTCATGGGGAGAACTCGCACTCAAACACCAGAGTAAGGCAGAAGAATTAGAAAGGTGAGCGTGTGAAATATTGAGCAACAATCACCTTTTTCATTTTATACTAATGGTTTGTTGTCCTTCTTGTCACAGGAAACTGGCTCAGGGCCAAAAGGAACCCATCGCTTTAGACCACGCGTGTGTGGCCCAGTCCTCACAGTACCAGTTAATTCGGAGTAAACCTGACTACCGTGACCTCCTCTGTAGGCTACAGTCCACGCTGCGAACTACGGCAACTCTTGTGGTACGTACACTGTGATTTTTTTTTTCCCCCCTCCCGCACACATTTCCAGCCTATTCTACTGTCCATACATGTTCATTAATTTATCTTTCATCGTGTCATTGTCGATTTTGTTTTTTAATGCACAGATGGACGCCCAGTGTCAACTCGCACGAGAGCTTCAGTCCGTCAAGGAGTTGTCACAGTTGGTGGTGAAAGAGACCAGTGGCCGTTTAGGTAATTATTATTCAGTATTTCTTGGTATTATATATTTTTGGTGGTCATCGTAATTAAACATATGGATCCGTTTTTTTTTTTTTTCCCCTCCCAGCCGCTCAAGCAGGATTTCAGGATCTTTCTACCAATGTCATTCAGGACCTAATCAGTGCTCCGTTTACATCCTCAAGCACACAGTCACATTAAATAGACCATGTATGAATTGTGTATAAAGAAAAAAAAGCCTGTTTTTAATTCGCGTGTTTTATTTTGCGAATAATGGGGGCGGGGGGGGGGGGATCCTACGCTTGATCATGTAAATAGTCTGTGTTGATAATTGATGTAATTCATGCAAGCGTCCAGCTGGTGGCAGTGGCTGTCCTGCAAACATTTGTTTCAAGCATGGGGCCTCTGTTCTCTCTTTACAAAATGCCTTCTCACCTCTTAAAAAAAAAAAAAGAAAGAAAAAGAAGCCTCAAAGACATGACTGTCATGAAAGCACACACGCATGTTGGTTCAAAGAAAAAATACGTTTTTCGGGTTTTATGATCCGGAGTCCACAAATATTCAGGTATTGTGTTAAGAATACAGTAGTTACATATCCAGAGATGTTCTTTTTTTGTTTAGTTTTTTCATACTTGCACACATAAGAGTCGACTCCGAGCATACAGTCGATGGTGTAAATTTTAAAACGAATAAAGCATGTATACTTAGAAGTACAGTACCATGCTTCCTCAGCCTGTTTTATATTTCTATTTCTTGCCCGGGCTCTTCCTCGGGCCCGTTCGACTCTCCCTTTATCTTTTGGTGCTGCATCTATTTCACTTCATCAGTGTCCCCTGACCATTCAAGAGAAAGCCCCTCCCCCCACAGTGACTCACCCCCATTCTCTTGCATTTGGCTGGGTCGCTGAGGCAGAACGAAGCTTTTGACATTGTACCAGTCAGTCAGAAGCTTTGTTTGCTATCACTCCGATCTCCTGGAACTATTCACTAATTAATGTTCCTGAGTAATTTGTAATTTGTAGGGGTGCAGCACGAAGAAGAGGGAATGTCTCTTTTCCTCCTCTGTCGTGTGCGTGCGCTGGTGGTTATGATCTTGACTAGAGCGGGGGTGACATTTTCAGTGGGATGGTGTTCAAGGGGGCTGACGGGAGAAGAGGGACAGGCGAGGAGGAAAAAAGACGAGCAGGGTTGTGACCGTGAGAGTTGTGAGCGAGGGAGGATGGCGCACAGCAGGAGAGATCGATTCTTATTTAGATGAAAATGAGGCTCGATGCTCGTGGGGTGAGAGGAGGGCACCTTAAGCATCCAAATGAATAGGAAGTTTCACAGAAATGATCCTTTAAATGAATCGACAACAATTAAAAAAGAAAAAAAAAGTGCAAGGTCCACAAAGGCACTGTCATCTCTTCACTTGCAAGGAAGCTTTTCTGTGGGCAGTCAAATGCAATTACTTTGGCATTAGATGGTAATCCTTACGGCTTGTCACTCAAAAAGTGTGAGGGACAAAACACTCGAGCCAAACCTCAATGGCCCGTTTAGGAGTTAAGTGTTTGCTTTTGAACTATTTGATAAAAGGTGAGACATGGCTCACCTTCTTGTTTGTAGACTCACAATGAAAGCAAGCAAGCTTTGTTATGGAGTCGAGCGTTTATTTTACAAGATTGTGGGTGTTACTGCGTGCAAACATTTTGCCAGAGGTAACAATGCAGGTATACGAAATCGGTTCTATTATAATTTTGTATTGAAAAAGTCCCAACACACCCCTGTTCAAATAATGTACCTTTTTTTGTGCTGTAAAAATGAGACCAAAGTAAATGATTTCAAAACTTTTTTTTTCCCCTGTGTTATTGTGACCTATAACTGACTTGAAAATGTGGATGCACAAGTGTGCACACCCTCACATATTTGGCACATAACTGCCATTGGGCGATTATGTTATAGTCTGAAGCCAAGGTGAAGTTTTTTGGCCATGGTGGTAGCATGATCCTGCTTTGTAGTTGTTTTTCCCTTGAGCTGGAACTGAAGCCGAAGTCAAGGTGGGGGGGAATTATGAATTGGCAGTCCGTGTTAGCACAAAAACCTTCGAGCTTCTGCTAGAAAGCAAAAGAAATGTCAGGAAAAGCCGATTAGCACAGCTGAACTTATTCGGGGGTTCATAAAGAGGCACTTTAAATGTCGGCTGGTGTGTGCGAACTTCCGTTTTAACATGAGTTTGAATGGGATTCTGAGCGCAGCCACATTCAAAGTGAGTAAGCACGCATTGTAGTCGCTGATTTTTAATGCCCCGCTTGCAAAGATTCATAATTAAACTGAGTAAAAAAAAATACATTTATATCACAAAATGCTTATTCAAGAAACCCATGACGCTTAACTCTCATCCTAAAGTAACCCGCTACTGTCAAGTAATTCAGTGCTCTTTATCACAATCCAATCAATACTTGCAGCTCTGCTTACCTTGAGTAAAGCCACCAGTGGCACATACACTTAGAATTACAAAACTCTTTTCACTTTAATGACAAAGTTGAACATACACCTCTCAGATTTTAATAGTATAAAAAATGCTGTAGAGAAAAAAAAAACAAATATTGTGACAGCACACCTTGGTCGTGTTTCCAATTGTACAACATCAGGAGCGATGTTACTACTGCTATTAGTGTTTACTCTATTGCTTACGTACTTGCTGTCTCCAACTTGAGATTGATTAGCCCCAGATTGCTGTGGACTGATGTGTGGAGAGTCAGCATAAAGCGGCGCCAGTTTGGTCGCTACTACCTTATGCACACCCATCATCTCCTCATAGTACATCTGGGCCTGCTGCATCGGCCTTTCCTACGCACGCATCCAAGCAGCCATTCGTCTTGGAAGGCTGTCTCTCTCAACTGAGTGATAAACTGCAGCAGAATTGCCCAGTTTGCAAAAAAAAAAAAAAAAAAAAAGAGAGACACAAGGACACAAGTTTTTCAATCTGTGCTGTCATCATTTTCAAACTGGAAACTGATGCGATGTTTCGTAGGCTTGCCAGTGATACGAGGATTCTCTTCTGTTGTGCTTTTCCGGGGCATTGTCTCTCGCGTGATGTAAATTCGACCACTTTGGCATTATCAGATGGGCTATTTTGTCTCCTCGCAGCTCACTGAACAGAAACAGATTACAAAGGTTTATACTGATGCGCCTAATTAGCACCCTTCTTGATTGTCATCAGCACATCTTTTTGCATACATTACACACCATTTTAGTTCTACGTTTAAGCCATCACAGCAGCAGCGGTTACACAAAGACTTTTGTGAGTCGTAGAAGTGATGTGTCTCATTTAGCAGGTAGTTTTTAGACCTCAGGATGTGATCACTGTATACGGTGGCATTTACAAAGTCTAACACACGTCATGTATGATGTTGACATAATAAAACATTTAACTGTAGCCGTGGCATTTAAGAAACTCTTTACCATGTGATATTGTGTGTCTACATGTGTTGCTGAATAGTTTGTGTTCAAATATCATTCGCTTGATGGGTAATAGCACGACAAACATCGATGCTAACCGTTACTCCATAAATGCTATTTTCCTTTATGTGTTAGCATTAAGATAGCCGAAGCATTCGCAAGGCAAAGTTGTTTGGTTATTTTGAATACACAACATGTAATATCTTAGTTTGATGTTAAGTTTGACGGTAAACCTCTGGGAGTGGCAATAAACAACATAATGCCTCTTTTCTGAAGAACTGCTCATAATCTGCTTCTTGTCAAGTAATATGAATTGAGTTCACTGCCACCTTGCGGCGCTCGCATCACAATGTGCATGGCAAAAAAAACAAACTAACAAACAAAAAAACATTTGTAGGCCGACATTACACAAGCATGGTAGGCAACATAGCTATAAGGTTGTTCAAATATTACTTTATATTTTAAATTGGGTGATGTAATCTTCCAAACTAATGATGATGATGAAAACAACATGATTCAATACCTTTAATAAGCATAATATGAATCGCCGAGGGAGGTGGAAACATAAAATCTTGACTCAGATGCCACATTGGGTAGGCACTTAGAATAAAGAGACGGTAATAGCTGAATAGTAAAACTAGAAGTAAAACTTCTCACCCTTTGACGCCGCCTTGGGGAGAGTAATGGACAGTTGGCAAGCTCTCATTGTCATGCAAGTCAATGGCCATTATGCTTTCACCTACATGTTATTTATGTTAGCAACTGCTTTGAGAACCTCATTTGCATGTGTAATTGATATTTAATGAATTGCCATTGTTTTGAGCGGCCGGAACCATTTCCCATGTTGCAGTAAGTTGCATTTCCTGTTCTATGTTTATTATCACACATTTCCCTTTGCCTTTACTCCCAGTCAAAACAGCAAAACAGTGCACATTATTTTGGCTATACATGCTGTCAAATTCTACCAATTGTTAAAGTGGCAATTAATGATTATTTTTATGATAGATTAATCTGTAGATTATTTTTCTGGGAAATTTGGATGAAAATCTGTTCACTGCTAATATTGCCATTTGCGTGATTTTTTTTCATGAAACATGCTCAATGCGATAACAATTGCCCTCATTCGTGATATTGCACGAAAAATGAACAAATATTGTATGGACACGTTTGAAAAGAGAAATACAGCCTCACTAAAAGTTGTAGCGTTGCATTGTTGCGCATATTATGGGCACTTTTTAGAATAAAACTGTTGACATCAAAGCACCCTAAAACAGTTTAAACTTTCTTGGCACCAAAACGTGTGACCAGTGCAATCGATAAGGTGTCGATTAATCGTTACATCTCCATAAAATACATTTATTAATGTAAAGCAACGAAACTGCAACAAACTACTTTCCATGTTGCGATTTCGGATTGTCCTCAACAGGGATCATTCACACAAAGAATAATAATCATGTTTTTACATTAGGACGTACAAAAGCTGATTTCAGTGATGCAGCTCTTATATCGTTCTGCAATTTTTTCCAGCGTTTCCTTTATTGGGCTGGAGTGAGTGTTTAATGACTAACATATTGATGACGTCAGTGGCTAGCCATGCATAACGCCTGCCACGAGGGAGAAATGATTTTCACCTGGACAAATATTGAAGCAACACCACCCCCCCCCCCCCCCCTCCGAGGGTCGCGTCGCAAAAAAATGTTCCATGACCATATTCCACCTCCATGAAATTCGTAGGGTGGCAAGTTGTCGGGGAAGTGGACTTTTCGCCACCCGCTAGCAAGCAGTGTCGTGTGGGTTGCAAGTGAGTGTGGAAGAAGCCGAGCTCGCCCACAGCACCACCAGCGAGTACAGCACATCCCACATAGTCGCGCGACACTCAGCAACAACAATGGCCAAGCGTAGTCTGTGGCGGTAGGAGCTCTGTCTCGCTCTCTCGTCGGAGTCCTCCCTTCCCCGCTTTCACTCGATTTTTGGACTCGGCGGCGGCGAAAAATCCACCCGTAGAGACTGGCGCTGGTGTTTTATTTTTTTGTTTGATATCACTCATCCCACAATGTTCGAGGCGAGCCCACACGGACCGTGCGTGTGTGTCCCCGCTGCTGCTTCTTCTTCTTGGCCGCTGGGTTGCGGCTACTAACCTAGCTGCTTTTCACTCGGTGCTTAGCTAACGCTTTTAGCCCCCCCACACGCCCACCCCCGTCGTTTTTTTTTAAACAACACGCCAATGTTTTAGGGTATTTACGTGAACTGCTTCATGACAACAACTGTTGCCAACTACCTACTATTCGTCAAAGAAGCGTGCGTGTATGTTTGTCGCGGAAACTAGTTTGCGGGCTAGCTAACAGGCTAGCTATTTGTGTGCGTGTGTGTGCGCGCGTGCGTGTGTGCGTGTATTCGCGTAAAGGAAGGAAAACGGCGAGTTTCCTTTTTAACAAAGTATGGATGACCAGACCAGGATGCTGACGGGTCTCACCGGACTTGGTGGACTACAGCCAGGCGACGTGGGCGACCCGGACTCTGTTCGGAAACAGCAGTCCCTCGGCCAGCCCCAACAAGACATCGGGGATATCCTACAGCAAATAATGGCCATCACCGACGAGAGCCTGGACGAAGCACAGGCCAGGTAAGAGCGGCCAAGAGCCATTTTCCATCGCGTTGCTACGCTGCTCTGGAGCTTGGACTTCGCAATCACGGTTCTTTTAAAATAATTATTTGTAATAATCAACTTTATAATACATGATCCGCAACCACTTTGACGCTCGCGGTTTATGAGTGTTTATATAAATTTGGCAGTTCTTTGTTACATCAATTGTGCTCAGCTGCCTTTGAGTTTGCAAACACATTTCGTGTGTTATAACCGGCGGACGTTGGCGGATTCTTTTGTTTTTAGTTGTGAAAGTTTGAGTTTTCACAGCGAGACAATGGTTGTTGCACTGCTAATGATCTCCCAACTACTTGGCTGCCACTTAAACTGCACTTGCATGGCTCATATAACTGCTTCATTACATCACAGCAGCAGTCATAGTTAACATTTTAGGACCTTTTATTAACCCTCGTATAAAACGATTAAAAAAAACAACAACATTCCTCCCACTTGGAGAGAGACATGTCAGGTACATATTGAGTTGTTGATGTAGTTTTTGTTCATATAAGGCAGTGAGTGCACAATTTCCCCCCGAAAGCTGCACCACGTTGCTGTTTATGCCTAATGAGATTTGTCTAATTGCACCCCAATGCGTCTGAATAGCGTTCTGCATCAATTGATAGTCGATGTCATTATCCGATGAAATGCAAATGAATGCAGGGATTACTCAATTGGCTCGCGTATCCAGTCAGAAGCTCCCTGTGATGACAGCAGCCATTCATTCATACGACTCCTCACTGAATGCTCATATCACAGAGGCATTCCGGTGTTTCCATTATTCCTCGTGAAGGTGGAAATATATGCGAGCAGCGAGCACTCATGCGCCATGTGGCCCAGGGAGCATAAGGTCAGCTTTGAGATAAAGCCCCGGTATCTCAACAATAGGAAGGCGTCCACTCGCAAGACCGTGGCCACAGTGTGATGTGTCATTAGCTAGTGATTTTCCACCCAACATTTGACCACCTGGTTCTCTTAATTAATTCACTCCCCTTTCACTCCCTCCCTCCCTGGTGTTCATCCTTTTCATTGTGTGCTGGGTGCAATCAATTCTCCTATAATGTGTACGCGAGTGCAGCTGTCCGCAAATCGAGTTTCTATTAATGAGGTGGTGTTGAGGGGGAGGGATGATACTATATGGCCGAGCGTGCCCCCGTGATTGTTTGTTTTTGTTACCTTTTCTAACCTGCAAATTTGAGTATACAATCTGGGCCTGTGCAGTTTTTGTTGTTGTCACGCCCACAACCCACCTTCTTGTAAATATGTTCACACCAGCTGAATCGTCATCGACCAAATGATAGTGCTTTTCTCTTAAACAGGCACAAGTACAGTGTATGTAACAGGCTAAACAGGTTACAAATATACAGTACATGACGAAAGGTGCGGCTGCTTTTGGAGTACTATATGCGTCCCACTTCTAATAACGCCTATTGCTTTAATGTCCACTTTGTGCCATTTGTGCACAAGAGGGGCACTTCTTTCTGACACACGCAGGCTCTAATGTGCAAACTATTTAATCAATAAAGGCAATTCCATTCCATTTGATAAAATATTCATCCATTGAACAGTGGGTGTTTGTTTTTAGCTGACAGCCTGACTTGCCCGAGGTAGGAGACCCTTCATCTGCTTGCTAATTGCCCTTTTTTTTTTATTTTTATTAAAGTTCAGCTGGGGGAAAAAAAAAAAACAATCGCAACCAACCTGACAACTATGCACAACTTGCTTTTACCTCCTATGCAGGGGTTATGTTGCAGAGTCTGCTTAAATGTGGCAACACAACTTTGCGACGCGATGGGAAAGTACCGGTACTCATCAATGGGACAGATTTTTTTTTTTTTTTGTCTGTGTATTGTTACGGCTTGTCATTTACAAAAAAAAGTAAACATTATAAAACCTTAATGTTGAAGTTTTGGAACGGGATAGCGGTAATGTTTCCCTATAAACAATGAAACCTGTAGGATGTCAAAACGGAGGGCATGCATGTTAAGCGTTCATGGAATGCGCAAATACGCGCAGTCAAAACAGTCATTGCAATTGTGCTCGTGACCTAATTTATTGTCACATTACTTATCAAAGTCTTCGTTTTCGTCGTGCACCTTGCGGTGGTTGTCAAATTGCGGTACAAATTAAGCAAACAAATCTATCCGTTTTTATCTTTCCGCCATTTTGCCTTGTACTGGCACTTGCTGTCGACTTCAAATGACATCAGAGTACCCACGGGTGAGCTGTGACGTTCATGAGCGGAGCCGAGGCAAAATGGCAAATGGATAAAAACGGATTTTTCTGCTTAATTCATCTTCCACAAACGCAACATTAATCAAAATACCTCGTTTAGTCCCATGGGGGCGCAAAGAAAATAATTTTGTGAAAAGTTTTGACATGCCTTCCTCGTTTTAGAATGTTTTGCTTTTCAGTATTTATTTTGGCACACTTTTGAACTTTCAATGATTTTAATTGCATCATTATTCAAGTCAGTGTTTTATTTATATTTATTTTGTTTATCCTATATAAGAACCACTGATGTAAAGTACATGCCAACAATGTTAAAGACCAAGAAGACACCATTTTTGGGTCAGAATCGCCAACTACTGCAGCAACATACATTTTTACAGGTTTTTATAACTTTATTACCAGGACATGAAACTCTAAAAAACACTGTGTTGATATATGCTAAATATAGTTCTACAAACAAGATGATTTTAGCATATCTTTTTTGGGTCATTTTTCCAACTGTTTTTGAATAGCGTTTGGAATAGAAAACAAACGCATGGGATTGTGGAGCCCTGTCGGAGGTCGCTCGTTACAAATGGGTTTGGTCCTTTTCCAAAGGCCACACTGAAAACCGAATGGTCGTCATCGTCGTAATTCTTACTCCGGTCTCTGGTCAAGTTTGTGCCTCCCGCATCCACTCCTCAGTCATGATTTCCAAACAGAACATGTGACGAGGCTGACACGTGACCATGACACTCCTGTTGTGGAGGGTGTGTTGGGATGGGGAGCGGTCAGGGCAGCGCAAGAACTTTGGTGCCGTTTCCCGCACACCCTGCCTGCCCTGCGCCCTCATCCTCTTCACCCACCCCACCCCCTCCTGTCGCCATATGTTTAGATGCTGGCCAGAAGATTCGCCGGCGCATTGGGGTGGATCAGACGACCCCACAGAGGGAGGGAGAGCAGGGGGGGGCACGGCAGGGGGTGGCCTGCCAGTCAACTTCCAGTACAGGTCAGTACAGGACCGCATGAGCACCTCCCTCTCCCCCTCCTGCTCATACCCTCCATTCTGATGGCAGCCCTCCCCCAACTCAAATCCAGCCGTGATACGTTTAATGCCACATCAAAAAAAAAACGCTACATCACTCTGTAGGGCTGCGATGATTAATCAAATAACTCAAATAAATCGCTGACAAAAAAAAAAAAAAATGGAAGCAAGACGTCAGCCTGGAAATGCGCGCCACTGCCGGAAAAAAAAAAAAAAAAAACTAGGTTGGCGTGTTGGTGGCGAGCCAGGAAGTAGAGCACATTAAAGACAGAGAATGTCCAAAGTTTGGAATCATTTCACACTAAAAGAAGATTAACTCATTCACTCCCAAAGATGTTTTTAAACGTCTTTTCAGACTTGGTCCAGAATTGGCTGGTACTGATTAAGTGCAATGTTTACCAGAACAGCACGGCTATGATCGCCACCTGCAGTTTATTGCTATAAAGCTAATTTGATGTGGTCTACCATTGCTAGTTAAGATATTTTGTAATGCCCCCGCAAGTGGTCAAAATAGACACAGCCAGTGCACTTCCAATCGTCTTATTGAGCAAATGGTAAGCAAACAGCACCCTGAGTCACCACCAGCCAACTGCAATTGTGACACCCACGTCACTCACCAGGCCAGGCCCTTTTCAAAGTTACGCACACTCAAAAGTCACAGAACGTGCGGATGGCGACCCCAAGTGGACAAAAAGCACCTGCATCTCGCCTGCACGTTATTGTGTTTAGCTCATTCATTCCCAAAGACGTTTTTAAACGTCTTTTCAGACTTGGTCTAGAATTGGCTGGGACTGAATTAGTTAATAACGCAGTTTAATTTTTTTATCCGATGAATCGATGGGATGATTCACAGAATGTTGTTAAGGTTGCTTGTTGCTGGTATATGAGAGTGGCTCTACCCAAGACAAATTCCTTGTGTGTTTTCAACATACGGGTTCAGTAAATATCATTCCAATGCTTCCAATTCTTGTAAAAAAAAAAAAAAAAATCTTCGATAGCTGCAGCCCTATCACTCTGGATCAATCCCTTTCACATTGAGGCATCACTACAAGAAATAGACTTTAGGGCCGTCCATGCAGTCCCTTGTTGACTTACTCGGGGCGTTCACAACTGGAATTGTTGTTGTGGTCAGGTGTAGCCAAGTCATATTCATTTGTGGTTGTCTTTTAAATGTTTTGTTTTTGGTGGAAAATACCGCATCATCTTTTTTCAGTCCATGCTCATCACATCCAAAGTTGTGTGCTGGCTTTTGTTTTGTTTCATCTGAACACCAAATGGGGGGTGGGGGGGGGCAAAAGTTATTGCCTCTCCAACATGTTCATAATGCACCCGTTGTGATGTCATAATGGGCTCATGTTTGTTCTGTCACGGCCAGACAGTTGCCATGAATGTGAATGACACATCTCCCGCTACTTCAACAGTGATTGAATCTAATGAGATACACCGGGGTAGATTTAATGAATCTGACGCTCCAGTTGGAAGTCTTAATAATGTGAAATTAATTAGTTTTTGGGTCTCATCGAAACTCGCCGCGAATCAACTCCCAATTCTGAATATTTGCCACGACTACTTTACAAGTCGGGCATGCAGGCGACTCACGCCAACAGTTACGGAACACGCCAGCAACTCTGTAACTCATTAGCTATTAAAGCTCCCTGACTTGCCCAACACTGCTAATCACCGAAATGACATCATTCTTTTTTTTTCATCAGATACATTCCTGATATCACAGACAAAAGCAATTCCCATCGAGAATGCCGTGAAGCAGCTCTGCTTGACACACTTTTGAAACACTTGCGCGTACCTCGGTAGACTAGCGTGCGTTTTAAGCAGAGGAAGACGTGGTACAAGTTGAGATGGGGGGGTGGGGGTTCCTTTTTATTTTATTTTTTGTTACTCCTCGCTCTCTCCCCCACTTCTGATTCCCTCTTCTCTCTCATGCAGGAAGCATGCCCTTAACTGTCACCGAATGAAGCCAGCCCTGTTCAGTGTTCTCTGTGAGATCAAAGAGAAGACAGGTGAGTTTCGACTCGACGCATTTTTTTTTTTTCCTTTTTATTCTGTCACTCCATACAATTTGAAACCACAGTTTGGAGGTGCACTGTCGCGCCTTCCTTCCAATAATGGCTTCCCTGCATCCGAGCTACTTCCTTCCTGGCCTCGCCGAACTCGCAAATGATTGAGCGTCGATTGTATTTTGTTTGGACTCTGAGGTGTCGATTCTCAGTAGGTTTGGGTGAAGAAATCATGTTCCCTCGGACACTAACAACTGCTCACTTACGTACCGCAATCACAACATCTACCATATCGTCTTCAAATTAATTGCATGGAGCGAAAAAAAAGAAAACCACCCTCGCATAATCCTGACAGAATATTCACACAGCCGTTGACAGGAGGCAGATATGAAAAGAATCGGCGGGGGTTATTGCTTCGCAGTCGGTCTCTTACCCCACCTCGACATGCTATTCTCCGACGCGGTCTTAGAACGTCCACTCTCGCTGCAGTATCATGCAATTATGCACCGGTAGTAAATTGCCTCTGCCTATCAATGCTTTTACCCTCAGCCTAACCTAGCATGCGGTGCGACCGGACGAACGAAAAAGTACGAAACCCTTTCTAATAACGTCGCCCGATCTCGTATAAACACGACGTGATAGAAGGCTATGTTCGAAACACATGCGGTTATTTAGCGTTTGAATCGCCGTCGCTCCGTTATTTTAAGGAAAACCAGCTGGTTATCCCCATCTTGTTAGCTATTCCAGTCAGCTATCTGACACATTCGAGTGCGGTTCAAAGGACGAAGGCTTAGGATGGCTGGCAGATTGATGGTTATGGTAGTGTGAATGGGTGGGATTTTGAACCCCCCCCCCCCCCCCCCCTCGTTTCCCCCTTCCTTGGTTTC